GGGTTATTTCCAATTTCAAAAATAAATATATGTATTAAACAAATAGAAATAAGAAGTAAGTATATTATAGTATATTCAAGAATGAAAAAATATAAAAAAACATGATTTTAACACTGTCATGTTGTAATTTTAACTGTATTGTATTGTTTTATGTATTACAGTTTTTCTGTGTTCAAACCACAGTAATCTGTAAATTATACAATGAAATATAATTATTTTTAACATATTCTTAATGTGAATTTAACAGTTTTGTTTGGTTCAGTACTTTACGAAATATTACTGTAAATTAAACACTGCTTCATTGTTTCTCTATTTACAGTTTTTTGATGTTGTGATTTTACAGCTTTTCCCTGTTAATTTCACGGACTTTTTTTACAGTGCATGTAAACGGTGTGCAGAGTCACAAACCCTCAAAGTACACCCTGTAGCGAGTAAAACTCTAACACAGAAAATACCTCCCCAAAACGCCTCATTGGAGATACGTCATTGTCCATTTGATTCTTCCATTTCGTTCCGGGTACGGCATGATGTCAAGCCGTACCCGGAACGAAATGGACCAATCCGTGAAGCCGTTACGTTACGTCCGCGGAGCCGTTACGCTAAGCCCCCGCTGATTGGTCCAAATTGACCAATCCACGGACTTCCTCACACACACATCTGTGTGCAGGGAGCAGGGAGCGCTGCTGATTTCTCCTCCCTGGCTGCAGGCTGATAACAGACAGTTGGGATCGCGGCGAAATTCTCTCTGCAGACCCATTCTCACAGTGTTTATCAACCTTTTTCTTACTCAATATCAAGCCACACTTATTGTTTTTACTTCGGCTGTGACTTTGTGTGTGCTCAGGATGAGTTTGGCTGTGTTTGGCTGTGTATCGCTAACAAGGAAACAACACCTCCACGGAGCTCAGCGCGATTCACAACGTCCCGACCAATCAGAGCACACTGTGCTCACAGGGAGGGTGGGGGCTGGAGCTATTGGAGCTACAACGAGCCGTTAAAGGCAGAGAGTGAAATTCAGTGAATACACGTAGTTTACAGAGATGCTGTATGAGAAACCAATGTGAGTTTGGAAAATTGCACAATATAAATCTATTCTAGTATACCTCAACAATGGAATTATGATCAGTGGAAATGGCCATGACATGGGCCCTTTAAAAACCCCTTTGGGAAGGGCATCATATATGAATTCTAGGATCTCATGCTGGCGTTCTCCCCAGAATCCTCGAACTCTAGACTTAATGCCTGGAAAACTGACTTACAGGAAGATCTAACATTGGAACAGTGGAGCACAGCTTGTAAGGCGGCCCAAACACAGACGGGTAATACGCGTCTAAAGCTTCTGCAATACAAGTGGCTAATGAGAGTGTATATTACACCAGAAAAACTGAATACATTTAATGCTAATATCCCAGACACGTGCGCCAGATGTGGGGAAGAAAAAGGCACACTGTTCCATTGTCTATGGTTATGTCCAAGAATAAAGGAATTCTGGGAAGAGGTTAGGGTAACAGTACAGAATATTTTATTGATCAGCTTAAAGCTGGAACCAAAAATGTTCCTACTTGGCCTATATCCGGATGGACATAACATACAGAGTTATGAACAAGTTTTTATAGATATCTGTTTATTACAAGCAAAAAGAGTGATTGCCTTAACATGGAAAAAGTTGGTCAAACCTAGTATTGCACAGTGGTTTAGGGAACTTTCTTTATGTCTGCCTTTAGAAAAAATCACTTACATTCTCAAAGGCAAACAAGAACTGTTCCAGAAGTTCTGGGGACGTTTTATACAGCATACCAAGAACAACGACCTATCTCAATTTCTGAACGAACCTGGGGCAGGATAATATGTTATAATATGTTAAAATGTAAATTACTGTGATATCCTCTGCAGAAATACGGTCCTATTGCTGGAAAACTGGATGGTTGCCGATGTATTAGAGTGCCCTTGTTGTATGCAGTGGCAACTGGTCATTAGGGGCAGGTGGGGCACAGCCCCACCTAGTGTCAGCAGAAAGTATTACAAATAATGATTACAAAAAATGCAAAAAATTAATTAAAAAAAATATAAAATATATTTTAAGATCATGGTTAATCATCTGATTTGTCTGTACATTGCTGTTTTAGTCTGTGTTCTTCTAATTAGTGTCTACAGTGTGTGCCTATTGAGCTGTTTAGAGCCATGTGGGACAAAACCTGATCATGCCCCTCCCTCTCACTGTCTAAGTCAGCGTTTCTCAAAGTGTGGGGCGCGCCCCACTGGTGGGGCGCAGAGATGTGATAGGTGGGTCGCGAATGGACGTGATGAACGGGAGATTTAAAAAAAAAATGTTTTTTTAATTAATTATTTGGACCTCAGGCCGGAATCGAACCTGGGTCCTCGCGGGCGGTAGTGGACTGTTACAGCCGGAGACTCGCAACGGCTGTGGACTTTCACAGCGCCGCTGCGCCGGACCCGCCGGAGCCTCACAACGGCGGGTATTTGCGGTGGCGGGTGCGGTGGCGGGTGCGGTACCGGCGCAGCGGAGCTGTGAAAGTCCACGGCCCACCTATGCCAGAGCCAGCGGCCCACCGAAGGCAGCAGCCCACCGGGAAAAGTCCCGAATCTCCCGATGGCCAATCCGAGCCTGCTCACACACACACAACTGAAACCAAAATAATTTACAGACATATGTAAAAATCTCTCATACACACATGTGAATCGCTCTCACACACACACACAACAGCGCTGCAGTCGGGAAGAAAAGCAATGTGGAGCGGCACCTCACCACTTCATAAGGAGTTTAACCGTGACACTTTTTGAAATCCCGTTTGTGGCCCCCCACTTTAAAAATAGGTCTATGTTTAGAGAGAGAGAGAGAGAGACAGAGAGAGAGAGAGCACACCTTTATCTATTTAATATAGCCTGGTTGTAAAAAATAAAGTAAGAAATCATTCCAATGTGTACTATAGGACAGTAAAAAATAAAAAAAACAGTTTAAAGGGGAGTGATTAGTAAAATATGCATAAATAGAAAGAAAGAATGCTAACTAGGTAACATAAGATAAGAATAAACCAGTTTAAATGATTTGTTATTGGTTGTGATCATATTCTAAAGATGTTTGGATTATTGAAAAGTCTACAGCTCCCTTTCACCTGAGTGTTGAGAGCTGTATCCATCAATTCATGTTGTGCTCAAAGTGCTCCAGATTGATGCATTTCACTTCAACATTTAAAAAAACATCTGCACGGGGTTGCATGCCCCCCGACCCCCCTATAAAGCAGGTTAAAATAATTAAATTGAATACATGTTCTTTTAGTAAACACTGCAAACGGGTCCCACAGACCCAAACAGCACACAAAGGTTAAAGGTCAGCATATCATCATGTTAAAATGTGCTAAATAGCAAAAAAAGAGGAGTAAAAGTAGTTCACGACTTGTTTTATTTTTTGAAAGTAGCCCTCACCCTAAAAGGTTGGAGACCCCTGCTATAGAACGATACATTTGACAATTTTAAGCTTGGCCTACCATTTTATTGGAGCGATGAGGAACAGGTGGGGCTTGAAAAGGCCCACCTGTTCAAAGTGGGGAATGACAGAAAAGGTTTGAGAACCACTGGTCTAAGTGAACGGTGACTGTAAAAACTACACTGCGCATGCTCAGAGTATTTTCCTATTTAATGTGTGTGGCAAAAAAATAATGACCATAGGGGCACTGAGCTGCCATCCCCACCATACGTCATCTCACATCATTCAGAGCTGATTGGCTGTAAGTACGTGTGCCGTGAAAAGTGTGGCGTGTGAAGAGGAGACGAGAGAGCTGCAGTGACGCGTCCTAAAACCCGGAAGTAAGCTGCGCATGGCTTCCCTCGACAAAAAAGCAATGAGATTTCTCCATAGGATTTTAGAAAATAGCTCGAAATAAGATCTGTGGGAAACGTACCTGTTAGATAAATGCACGTTTTGTTCAGCCGGATAATATCCACATGTCTACCCTACTTTTATAATTTTTGAATCATAAATCTATCGATTTAGATTTATGATAGACTTTTGAAACTACAAGAAGATAAGGAGGACTTTTACAAAAAAGTAATAGAATTTTTTGTCCAGAAGGATAGACAAATGGACTTCATCTTCAAGTCAAGGTAAGACCGCAATTTTATTGAAAATGGGATCTTACTAAGAGAGAACAATTCAATATTTAAATGATAAAATTACATTTTTTGGGTATCCTTTTGTTGAACTGTTTAAAATTAATCGAAGCATCAGACAAAAAAGCTTTTGAAAATAATATTATATTTTGGTTTAGGTCAAAATATAATATTTGTAAACCTGAAGAGTCAGTGCCAGTGCCTCACCAGCCATGAACCTCACTGCACGTCACTGCAGAAGCTTATATATAGACATCTACGTTTTTTGTGCCCCACCACTTTTGTACATATAAAAACGCCACTGGTTGTATGTATGTACCAATTAAATTTAGTGTTGTTATTTTTCTTTAATGTAAAGTAATGTAGTTGTCCTGTGTATATATGTATTGCTTTTGGCTCTATGTCTTCGTCCTATGTATGTGATTTTTTTGTATGCTGAAAATCAATAAACATATTGATAAAAAAAAAAAGAATATTTGTATTTTATTTATGTTATGGAGCAACTCACAAAACCCAAATTATCCATTACATTGCATATCCCTGGGATAAATAAAGAATTCTGATTTAAACCTCAAAGATGTGGTGAAGGGCGGTGGTGGTGAAGTCCATAGGGACTTGGCTTGGCTTGGCAACTGGAAGGTCACCAGTTCAAGTCCCGACAAGACCAAGTGCTACCGAGGTGTCCCTGAGCAAGGCACCGTTCCCTACACTGCTCTCCGGGCGCCGTTCATAATGGCAGCCCACTGCTCCTAACACTAGGATGGGTCAAATGCAGAGAAACCATGTCGTTACATCGTACCTGTACTACATAATGACAATAAAAGTGCAAAAAAAATAGATGTAGTGTTGTAATCTTTATAGTCAAACAGAACAGATTTTATTAAAAACTTTATTAGATTTTGTGTTTCTATAATAAAGACATTAAGAGCTCATGGACAGATGAAAGGTTGACAATGGAGACATAATTTAAGGGTGAGCAAGAGCTTTAAAGATGTACAGCATGCAGAGAGCAGCGGTGGAGCATGACTTGGTGAGTCTGTACGCTCTGCAGGGTCTGATCGAGTACAGGGGCTCCAGTCCACTCCAAACTCCTCTCTGGATGTTCCACTGATCCAGGACATCTCATACTGTTGTATTGCTCACAGAACTGTCACAGTAACTCAAAGGTGCAGTGTGACAAACTGTCACTTTTGTGATTTGCATAGAGTTGCTTGTCATCATTTGCCCTCACTGACACAATCACTGCCCAAAAACGTTCTCAATTCATTCACTCATTGAAGTCTAACAGGACAACAACTGACAGAGATTAGCCAGTCAAAGAAAACCCACTTTTCAACAGTTAAAAAAAATCATTGCCATAAAATAATTTGCTAAACATTGTATTCATTTTTTAAAGCAACAGCCGGAGGTTAAGACCTGATATCTTGAAAACCCAATTCATACAGTTCTTCGCCAAGGTGGATTTTCTCTCTTGAGTCTAACATTGTAAAGGCATATGATAAATGTATATATTACCCGTTGCACCTTCTACCTGCAATGACCTTGTTGTTGTTTTTTTAAATATCCCAATAATTGGGACAATGAAGTGACCTCAGCTTTTTCTGCAATTTTGCCTTTCCATCAGTGTCATCAAATAGGCCCACAATTGATAATTCTTTCTAAATAATAATTCAATATTTTATAGCAAATAGTCCACTGGTTTATAACTTAATTAATGGGATATTTTTCAAATGATAGCTGAGCATAGCTTTAAAGACAGCAGGGGATACAGCTAGCCTTGCTCTGTCAAACACTTTTGAAAAATGAAATCTAACTTCCAACACCTCTAAGTGCCACTTAAGATTAAACAAATGAGATATGTCATGCTAAGTGAGATTTAAAGGTGTTTGTAGGCGGATTGTTTCCTTTGTAAAGAGCCAGGCTAGCTGTTTCCCCATTTCCAGTATTTATGCTAAGCTAAGCTAAGCAGACATTAGCTGTAGCTTCGTACTCACCATGTCAGATGGCGTGGTATTGAATTATTTAGCTCTGCATCGAAAAGCAAAAAAGCATGATGATCTCATCATTGGATAATCATGTACAAAAATAATAAACGTGTTTTTAAAGTGTCACACACATCCATTTAATAATATTGCTTCAAGCCAGTGACTAAAGGCTGTAGTCTCTTTAATGTGGAGGCACATTATTGTCAACATAAAAATTAGCTTCAGACACCACCAGAAACTCACAGTGTACAGTATGCTGAGCTAACACCTGCTGAAACTGGGGAGGTACAATCATATCTGACCCAGAGCTCACACACACATTTGTCCCACTCTCCAGAGGTAATTATTTTAAAGCCAGACATTCAGTGTCTTAAATGTGCAACAGTAAATGTAGGTGAAATTGTATTCACCTTTAGTATGTGATGCAGATACATTCATCTCCTAACATGATGCTCAGTAGGAATCATCCCTGTTTGGCATGTTTTATTTCCTGCTTGAACTACAGCCCCCATACCGTGCCAGCTTTCTGAGGCCTCATCCCATGATCATTTAGAGTATGAATTTATACGTTATTTACTGTATGCATGGTCAGCACAACCATGTTAATTATTTTTCACTGCAGTGCAGTTGCTAAAGATGATTTATTGCAAAAAGTAGTGGCTGGCTGAATGGATGTTTATGCACCTGCTTCAAATCTTATTAGCCGAATAAATGCCTTGTACCAGTTGTCATCAAAGCAATGATTTGAGGTGGTATGGCTCTAATTTACCTCATAGTTGGCTCAGTAGACCTTTTTTATCTATTGGTGAGTTGGACCAACGCTGGGACATTCAAAAATCGTTAGGTTGCAACATGTAGTAGCCATAGTAATAATGACAGGAGCCAATGTGTAGGACTAAACATTTTTTTAAAGCAACAATGTCTGCAACTGTAATCAAGCGCTTACTATTTGTGTCCTCTGTTGAATCAAATCTTGATCTATATTTAATAATAAAGGAAAGTGAACATACTTTTTTGTCCTTAACAGCGGTAACACACTTTACTTACGTATAACTTAACTTATGTGACTGATGTACGTATTTGAACTTAAACCATTATCTTCAAAACCTAACAAAGTGTTTTTGTTACATTTACATGTTTAAAATCGTGACCATTTCACAGCATTACAATTCAATGGCAGTGATAACAACTGATAAAAGGCCATTTAATGGGTTGATAACATTTGAAATGGGTGTTAATTTACTGAATGCATGGGCAGGATCATCTTTTCACTGCTGTGAATTTATTGCAAAACACAGACTGATTTGTCTCTGTTTAAGAAGAAACAAGTCATGTTTTACAAGGTGGCCCGTACTAATATATGTTGAGTTTGATCAAGGCATACAGTGTCCAGGGCGACGTCACCAAAAAATGCTTAGCCTTAGCAAGGGTTAGCACAATGAAATTAGCATGGCATACAATGGGATTTACAGTTAACCTCAGAGCTGACTCTATCAGTCTTAGTACATCGGAGCATGTTTCCTCTCCAAAAAGGAAGGGTTTTTGTTTTCAAGCATTGTATCTAAAATCTGGCTTGTGTTGCACATGCTTAAAATGCATTGGTTATTTGTCTTAAAAGCAGCATCATCAGAGGGTCATTCATTTTCTAGGGGTGGGGTTGTTTTTAAGGGATTGTCTATCATGTCAGTTCAGAAGCTTATTGTATTATTACTTTTTTGCTGAGCTTTATAAACTGTTTTGCAATATGTAGTTGTCCCCGCTGGCAGAGGAGCATAGAAGCACTAACAGGCACCTGTGTTTTATATCAAGCAGAAAGGTACAGGATAAAGAGCTGGGCTGAGTCCTATAATATTCTGTTACAAAGAACACTTTGTTTTGTTAGTTGTTTGAATAAATCAGACATCATATCACATCATATAATTTGATGTTGACTCAGATGTCCATCTCATCAAAGGGATACTTTGAATTTGGTGTTTGTTAAAGAGGGATTCAGCCCAGCTATAACTACATTGCATTTTATCCTGTCTCAAGCGCTTAAACAAAAAAATCTATTGTTTTGACTTCGGATGAAAACAGTCAAAGTTTAAATGTGTATGTACTCTGGCTGTGGCCACAGATTTTGATATGTGCAAAATGATATACAACTGCTGGTATCTTTTCTTGAATAAACCCACACACACACACACACACACAATAAATGTACAAACACATTCACACAAACATTCCCATAATCTAATAAAATGTGTGCATACTTTGGTTTTAATGTAACCAATTCAACAAGAAACCACCAACCAGAGACACGTAGCTTAATGCTCATTAACAAGCATGCTTTTAGGTGTGGAGGTATCAGATGATGACCACTGGGAATCTTTCAAAAGACCAAAAATCCAGAAATAAATCAACAAATCTAATACAATTTTGATGCGTTTATATTTTACAGAGCCTGCCGAACAGTGGGGAATCGATCAGTTGAAGAATTTCCAGACTATTCTTTTTTTAATAGTTAAGTTGTAAAACTACCTTTTAAGGTAACAAGTCCTTTGTGACTGTTGCCACAGCAATGTGTTCCATCCACTGTCTAACTAACCAGAGGCAACTTGGTAACAGTGTTTTTCCTAGTTGCTTTTTGGACCTGATATACAGGCTCTGTGCGCCACCAGGTCACATTTCATTAAGTAAAAGTGCACATTAACTTTAATAGGGACATTTCATAAGATACAGCAAGCCACACACAAAAGAAAAACAAAGACACCTTTCAGTTGTTTTTTCTGGTAATGTGTTGGCAAAGGGTCTTTGGGATTCCAGGTGGGCAGTACATATGAATCCTATATACAGTATATAGAGGATAAGTGTTTATGGTAGGTGACATTATCCTTTAAATATTGTTTTCTTTAAAGTTATGAGCACATTTTAAATAATTATGTGTGCATTGACTTGCACAAGCTATAGTTGTATATCATCTGCACAGCTACCTTTCCGTGCACATGTATGTATTCACCTTTGAAGGCCACAGCCAGGCAGTTTTTAAGAACCTACCTAAACATAATGAATTTGCTTGTGTGCAAACACGTGTGCATATACAAATATATGCAACAGTACATCATTATAAGTACTTATATGCTGTTATATACGTGCACTTTCTCATTTCCTTTTTGGTGTTGGTTTTGAATCAGCTTTGGATCCTGAGAGGCCATTTTCTGTGTTGTCGATCCCTGATGAAGTTACAAGGCACTCCTTACTGCAGTGGCGTCAGGGGGAAAAAGAAGACAAAGTTAGAACTGTACATGCACGGCAGGTCAAAGACACATTTTGAGCTCACTCAAAAATCTTCTTCAGCATTTACAGTATCTGAGCTACTCGAAATTGCCTGCCGACCTCTAAAAGTGGGCTCTGATCAAACAGTCTGAAAAAGTGACATAGCTGGTAAACGCGCAGGTGGTGGTGATAACTCACTTTTTCTCCTCAAGCTTGGCAAGAACAAAAAGAGTGAAGTTCTTGAGCAACATGAAGGCCATTAGCCCTGCGATTCCTCCGCCCACAGCAGAGGCTATGATGATGGTCAGTGTGTTGTCCACCACCCTCACTGCAGACATGGACAGAACACCAGAGAAATGATGATTGGGGGAACAAATGTATATATAATCCGTTTAATGAGAGGTTCCAAAAAATAAAAATGTTCTCCAACTTTTAACAGAAGGAATATAAGCTCTTTATCTGATCATTTTTGGTAATTTTCATTCTTTTACTCAGCAGTAGCCTTATATGTATATGTGGCCTGATTTATCTAATTAGCATACAAATTAATGCATGTTCTAGTTTATTTGCACTTCAGCATGCACCTTATGGGGCTATCAAGCTAGCCCCAATGAGTTGTCCTACATTGTGATTGGCCAATATACAGTATGTCAGGGCACATAGTTAAACTATTCAAATCTAAGGGGATGTGTTGTCACATTTTCCACTTAATTAGGTCCACTTTTGTTGCTGAAAGGGACACATATTTGTTCAAGGTGAGATTATGTTGGACTGGTTTAAGATCGTTTGGGCAGTTACTAAATGTAAATACAAATTAATAAGAATACAATTTCACCTTCGAACCCATTCATATGATGAAAGGAAAATAAACCATATCCCTCCTTCACATATATGACCCACATTACCAGCTTAGACCACTCACACTCGTCCACCACGATGAGGGTGAAGATGGTGCTGTGGTTCCGGCCCTTTTCTTTGGGGTTGCGTCCAAAACAAGTCCACTCGCCTGCGTCCTCGAAGGTGATGTTCCACAGCAAGATGGAGACGTTGCGGTCAATGTTCTTCCCAATAAACTCCACCCGCTCTCGATATATACTCACTTCTGGCTTCGACTCCTCTGACACTATCAAGGAATCGCACACCTGACGGGAGCAACAAGCAGTCAATCATCTAAAAACTTCCAAACAGTTAGTTACCTGAACATTTCTCTCAACTAGAGGGATCTTACCTTCTGCATGGTGCCATTTTCATTAAACGTCCAGCTGAAGTAGAGGTCTTTAATGCCAATACAGCTCAAGTACGTGCAAGGCAACAAGACTGTGCTGCCATTCACCGCCTGCAGGAAGGGAATCTTCCCCACAGACATTTCCAGGCCCTGGACATACCACGCGCCTGAGGATGAACGGGAATAGAGTTACATTTTACAGTGCAGCAGTGTCAGTCTACGTTAAAGCAAGCTTTCAACATTTTGAGAAATGGGTATCATGTGCTTCTTTATGCAATTTTACAGGGGCCTATGTCCTAGACTGTTTTTAAGGTTTGAACAAAGATTTTCCTGTGTGTTCATGCATGTTTGAGAAGTCTTGTCATTATCGTGAGAAAGTACTTCCTGAAGTAACTTTTCCTGGGGTCAAGAGAAAGTCTTCGGTGCGGTTGAAGAGTAAAAATTATATTATAATATAATTGTTTTTCGAACCGGAAAGGACTAAGAAAAGAAAACTACAGCGCTAAGAGAATTGGACTGCACCTATAGGCTACCTACTGTAACTATGTGAATGTGGATGTTATTGTGGGTCTGCCATCACTATAAATGAAGTGTGGGATAGCATTTCCTTCTTTCTTTTCATTAAGGATGGTCTATATAGGGTAACTTATGCTTAAGGTGATAAGAAAGAAGGCATTTAAGCACTTTTCCTTAGCAATTAGAGAATTTGAACAGCTCTTATTGTGGCTGTCACTCAGATACTTTCTTTAGTTTTTGTGCTAAGCTAAGTTAATCATATGCTTGCTGTAGCAAGATGTTCACAGATTTGAGACTACTCAAAATAAACAATTCATTGAGAAACAATCAACAGATTACTGTGATGTGGCTGTGAGGAAGTGCGGTGGGCTTTCTATCAGTAGGTTGTATCCAGCCCCTGTAGTCAATATGTCGATGTATCCTATCCCTATCCTGATGGCCAACAGTGTGAGCAAGTGGCCCATTGCTCAGTATGAATGGGGTATGAATGGGTGAATGATCACTTCTGAGTGTAGAAGTGCTTTGGGAGTCGTAAAGACTGGATAAAGTGCTACGCAAATACAGTTAATTTACCATTACATTGCATTTCATTTAGCTGACAATTTATCAAATCCGACTAACAAAAGGTGCAATTAACCATCAGAATACAATTTCAGAACAGCAAGAAATCCTGAACATACATTATCTTTAATAGGCTAAAGCAGATTCATTGACAATTTAAATAGTCATTACTTCCAGCTCCTTCTCTTTAAACAAATCACCCACATTTAGGCTATTCTATATTATCTTCTTTTAGCTAATGTTAGAACAAATTCACATTTTCCTGCCTCCCACTTTGAAAGTTTCTGTTGGAAACCAGTTTAATTTAATTTTAGGTAAACATATACTAAGGCACTAGGCTAGTCAAACCCACAGTGACATGACCCAAAAACCTGTGACATTTATGTAAATAAGAGAAGAGAAACTCTCAGAGTAAGAACTGTTCCTGTACACCAGGGACCACAGACAGGAAGTCCCTGTAATTACATTTGACTTCCACCATTCAAAAGAGAAAATTGCCATGTCTTTTTTATTAGATGTTTTTGCCTTATTCCTTATTTGTTCTCGACTTAGCAGGTATTTCACCTTCTCATTTAGCCACCTAGTTTTGTGTCAAGATCACAGGTAACAAATAGGTTCACTTTAGCATTTAACCAGCTGTTAAAATTCTCTGAATGCTCACACCACTAAGGCTCCTAGTGCTTAATGCTTCCATCTAGTGTGTGACTTGTAAACTGCATGCCCAAAAGATGCTGTGCAGAACTAGTGCAGAGGTAATACAAAAAAACCTGATACCAGGATAAGATAAATGGTTTTAGGAGCAGCTGTATTTTCGGTGCTGTTTCTAACCTTCCCAGGATTGTGCCCTCTGTTTTGGGCACAGTGTGTTACGACTGGCTCATAACACGGTCAAGGTCAACGTCTGACAAGCACCACTGCAGCAAAGAGGAGTAACGTAACATCAGATACGGCTCCATCCATGCGGAGCTGTGGCGTACTGTATGTGGGAACGATATTGATTCATTCTCATCTCTCACCCCGGCTATCTCACAAACCTCACTCTCTCCAACCATTTTCCTCAGCTGGTCCAATGCAGCACAGTGAGCTTGCACATTTTTTTAATGGAAACAACCCCTCCCGTCTAGATCCTTGTGCAAATGTTTAGTGTCACGCTGGCTTTTTGATCAGCCTTATGCAAGATGCGCATTCTGCATTCTGCATTCTTTACAACTTGTGTTCCTTTGTGTGTACTTAAAATATTTGATTTCAATGAAGATACAATATAATGATGCCATTACTCTAGGTACTGAAGCTGTTGATAAGAGACCAAGAACAAAACAAGTTGAATTTCTTAATAAAGTATCTGGTCTCCTTTCAATGAGCCTGAATTTCTTTTGTATTGTGTCTAAACATTAAAACATTAATCCCCCTTAAATCAGTAAGGGCTCTGTTTTGAATTTGTGTTTTAGGTATCCAATCAAGTTTTGTTTTGCAAGGTAAAGATATGGTGCTTCAGATAAAAGTAGAACAGCAATGCTCTAGTTTCTAGCCTAAATATGTCAACTTAGAACAAACCTTGTTTTTTAATGCTATCACTATGCTACCCACATCATTGAAACTGAGATTTTCGCAAGGGGGGCCCTAAAACAATCTTATTTGAGGTAAAAGGTGATTTGCTTTGAATTATGAGGATTTAGAAAAAAAAACAAAAAAAAACAGTGTCTCTCAAAGTGGAACATAATTCAACATGAACAGCCTGTTGGAAGCCAAACATACTAAGACATAAGATCACTACATATCATTACAGCCCTGTAAAATGCTGAAGCTTTGATGAAACCGCTGTAGCATCTTTCTTTCTGCTCCTTAGCCACCTGCACCTGCTAGTTAGTCTACCATGCAGTTTAACTTATAGGCCGCCATCTTGTTTGGTGTTCATTCTAAATAAAGATAACACCTGCAAACAACAAATCCTGGAAATACCATTACAATGTTAACCTGGCAGCACATCACCACTGACAATGAAGGTCATGTGTGTAAATGGGACAGTAATGGTTTAAATGTATTATTGATTTTTAATGTGATCGACTTTGAAAGACTGGTCATGTTGAAAGGATGTTTTAGAGCTGACAATAATGTCAGTGACCGTGGTCTGATGGATGTTTATCTATTAAGTATGTGTTCGCTGAACTATTACTGCATTGATAACCCACACCCATAGTTACCTACTGTCCGTTCACTGCAAAAGCACTCCTGATGTTTTACAAGACACTGCTTAAAGTGACCCTACTGCACTTTACTGCAGATGCACCTCTGGTCCAGCACACTAAACAGTGCATGGCAGGGCCTGTAGTCTGTCACAGCTTTCCATTTACAAGAGCATCTATTCTGCTGACATATCTTTTTGTGGACATACAATCCCAATCCATAGCAATTCGGATCACAGATCAGTGTGCAGCCACTATCAGTCAAAGACTCCGAACAACTGCATTTTATGAACCCGTCATGGTCTGTGTCCTTTCTGTTTCCAGGCAGACCCAGCAGCACATTTTGCTGATGTAATGAAACCCATAAACTCCACAAACGACTACTCACACAGCTTTTAAACTAGTCCTATCAACAAAACAAACCTCTTTTGTAAATCCTAGTGTACCGACACATGGACTAAATAAAAATACAAAAAACACCTGCGTATGTCAGGAGCTGATGAAGGTCAATGTCAGATCTAACTCGGCATAACAATACAAAAACATGCTCATATTGTCTCAAGTTTAAAGGAAAATAAAGGTGAGAGACAAGAGGCACTGTGCACATGAGCTGTGGCATCCCATAGCAAGTAAAGAGAGGTGACGTGAAGTGAGAGCCAGACATTACCAAGCAGCAGAGAGAAGATCAGGCCGACAGCTGTGTGTTGAGGGCCCATCCTCGGGACTTCAACCCCGGCCCACTGGACCTCCATGGCAGCAAGATCAGCTCCAAAAGAATTGCTGCAGCAGAATCCAGCGGGCTCCAGAGAACTTGTAAAATATCCTTTACAGCAACTTATCCTCTCTGGTATACTGGACTTAAATCTGGAAGCTGCTGTCTGGGTGTCTTCAGCCCAAACAAGTCCAAGCTGTGCTCCTGCAGCAGCTGGGGGTGAGGAGCCTGCCCGCCAGCCCCCACTACACTCCTGTGAAAGAGACTGTAGGTTAGACAGAGGGCAAAGAAGAAGAAAGGGACAGAGAGAGAGAGCAGGGAGGAAAGAAAAAGTTGATCAACTGACATGTTAAAATAGGACATAAAGTCCCTATAAAAGCACATTCGGGACAGGTAAAGGTACAGGTTTGTGTGTGTTTCCTGCATGCTAGAAACTACTCTTTACCCCATGTAAAAGGGGTAAGCTCAAGGAAAAAACACATGCACAGATTACGTTTTGTCATGTTACCTGCTCCTGCAGCCGGTGCTCTCTCAGAGGCCGGCAGGCTGCACAGCTGAGTCAGTGTGGATAGGACAGCGGCGGAGTTACACACACTGCGCACAGTCAGGGTTCAGTCAAGGAGAATCCAGCCAGCCAGCACTTTCACTGCAGAGCCAGCCACATTGCAGCGGCAGCCAGGACGGGAGACAATTAGAGAGGAGAGGGGGGAGAAAAACACAAACGTAGGGAGACAGACGGACAGGAGGAAAAGCCGCTGCTCTCATTTCCCCTCAGCAGAGCATCAATGACGCCGACTCCTCTCCCTGCCCCGTCCCCCCGGCTCCCTCACAACTTTTCCCCGTCCTCTCTGTTGGCTGCATGCCACCTCTCTCTCCCCCACCCATCTCTCCGTCTCCCCTCCCTCACCTGCCCCCCGAACCATCTTATTCTCTCCTCCTCCTCCTCCCCCCTCCCTGCCTCACCCTCCTCCCCATCTCCTGACTCGGGGCGTGAATGCAGACTCAGGCACTTTTGTCAGAGTGTTTGTGAAGATCAGAGAAAAGTTCTGCAGTGCAGGTTGAGCAGGAGGAGGAGTGATGCAGCCACAGGGCCGGGGCCAGACACACAGTCCCACACCAAAACTCTCCATTCATAAATAGGCATGTTCTCTCACTGATAACATCACCTTCGAGGAACAAACTTACAGAATTACAAGTAGCAGGATAAACCATACGGTTGCTACTCTCTATTCAAATGGGATGAACCTCTGAAAGCAGTTACCTTTGTTTTTGTCTTCTATATTATTGATAGTGGGAGACGTTTTCTTATGATTGCACTTTCCTCTCCTCCCCCCTTCCCCTGAAAGGCATGCCCCTGCTGGGACTCATATTCTCCTGGCTCAGGATAATCAACGTCCCCTGGTGATGTGTGCATATGTGTCCCATGCAATGCCTCGAAGGTCAAACTGTCCTGTACATCATGAGGCTTTCATTACTCTAGTGTGATCAGTGTGATGCAGCAGCAAATACATTATGATATGAGGCTGTGTGTGTAGTCATTTCTCACAATGGGACAGCTCCTTTCCCATAAATGTAACCACGCATCAGTCATCGACAGCTGACCAATAGTGTCTGTCTGCACTATTCACTGCAGGACATGGCGCAGGAAGTGCTTAGCTCAGAGATTTGAGTAGTTGAGGTTAGACCTGGCTAACGTTGCATTCATACACTTAAGATCATATGCCTGTCTAACTCCATCTATTACTGGAAATAGAAGGTGACTACACAGTAATGGTGTCTTATGAGTTCAGTAGAAGAAAAAAGGTTGGTGACTGGTTAATCAGAGTTTCATATTGGGAAGAATTGAGAAATGTGAGTGTTAACTGGATGCAACTGAGACCATGTGACAAGGCTTGCCATCTGAGCCGAGGTACAGTTACACAGGCAGAGGACACGGGGACAGCTACACATCCATTTTGGACTTAACCTCCTGATGTATTTTTCTCAGCTTACAGAAATGCTTTTTCCTTAACATGAGAAGAAAAGGTAACGTTTGCAACTCGTAAGAGGATGCAACTGGAATTTAATTTGCTAGATTTAACTTCAGTTTCAAAGATAGATGCAGGTATTTGTCACGCAGTATACGTGTACAGTATACTGTACAATACTTTGAAAATACTTACACTGCAATCTGTTTTTAATTGAGAAAGTTATTAGGCAAATATGCAGATGTTTAAGAATGGCATCTTGTAGCTCATGCAAAATTTGAAATACCTATTATTTGTTTAGATTTTGTGAAACACATCTAATTCAGATGTCAGCTGTTATACTATTGCATTCAATATCATAAGCACGTTTTAGTGGATTGTGAGGGGAAAAGAGGGTATTGACACAACTCACTAAGCAAAACTAGAAGAAATTAAATTAAAATCTAATGTGTGTAATTGGCTGATGAGTGCACAAAGTAAATCTGTGTTTAATTAAACAGTAATAGATTTTATCGAGGCTGGAACCTGCAGGGCCTGAACACAATTAATAAGCTGTAAATTACAAACACCAATAATAACTAATATGGTTCATATTAAGCATATATAGAAGTAGGTGAAGTGTGGTGCTGGGTGACAGTACAGATAGAGTAGGGAGTGGTTTGACGGATGTGAAACTCTAAAGTGAGAGATCATGTGGCCGGGCTGCATGCTCACCGCTCTCCTCTGCAGGCCCCTCCACTGGAGTTTTAATGCAGCAGCGGTGGGAACTCTTCCAGAACTGCAAAGGAAAAAAAGAAAAGAAGCATTTTGCTGCAGAAAGACAGGGTGCTGCTGCAGACCTGTGCAGGACAACACAGAGTGCTCATGTACAGTCACACAAACATAACCACTTGGTATGTAGTAAACATATATGAATTATCATGTGTCCCATATTATTAATGGATGCCATGTAGGTGCAACCTCAGCATTTAAAAGCACGTAGGTGTCATTTGCTCTTACTGCAGCAAAATGTGTGCTGCTCCAAAGGAAAGAGACAAGGACACACGTGTCAGCGCTCTGTGGGTTGGAGTGTTAGAGCAAAACATAATGAAAACATAAATTCAGTGGTGGAAATAGTATTCACATGTTTTAATTCACTACATTAAAAGGTTTCTGCTACTTTTACTATAATTGTATTGCATAATTGAACAGTAACTGCAGTAGGCTACACTGTAAAAAAAGAAAAAATAAGCTGTTAAAAAATAATCTGCCAGCTGTGGTAATATTGGAGTTTACGGTTAGGGGTCGAGTTTGACTATAATGAGTATAAATCAAATGTAAAAATTGTTCTTACCACATTTACCATAGACTAGAATAAACATAAATAGTTGTTTTGAACCTGTTATCTGGCACCAGTTAGTTCTTCAAAGGTGTTTCAGAGATTGCACATGTGTTTAGAATCTGTTAATAATGAAAGCATCTTTGCCTGGGGGGAAACCAACATTAAAATCCAGTATTACCACAAACTGTCACCTGCTTGTGCCCAGAAACGACAAAAGAAACCTCTCCCTAAATGTTATGTGTTGTACCAATTCAAGGCTTCATCCAAAACATAACTTCAAACAAACAAACCGTCACCCATAGCGTCATCTTCAAAAGGCAAAGAAAAAGTTCCTAAAACCTAGCCAGTTCGTAACTAGCAAAATGTTTAGTGGCTAAACTGAACTAGCCCCAGTTTGTGAATCAGCCTACATTAGGGGTGACAGTTAGCAGCATGTTGTTTTCTCTAAAGGAAAACAAAACATTTAATACATGAGAGGCTTCATTTGGTGCTACTCTAGGGCAAGTAGGTAATCCTACTAGGCCTACTAATAGAGCTAAAAAGAGAGTTAATTGGACTTACCTTTATCAGATAGCTATAAACACTAATGCTAATGCTGCTAAATAAGCAACGTTTGCCAAGAAGCTCGAAATATTAACTCAGAATTTGAAGAGCTGTTAGTGTTCTGTTCCCATCTTCTTTATGCTGCCCCCAAGATAATTACATTTCAGCAGTTAAGAGGAATTACTCTTTGGTGGAACTGTTAACATAGGCATTGCACATTTAAGTGAAACGGAGGCTATTCAGAAGAATTAATACTGAAGTATAGCATACAAGTAGCATAAATTGTACTCAAGGATGGCACTTGAGCAGATGTGCTGTTACATTCTACCTCTAGGCTACACAAATTACAAAAAACACCCAGAATGATAAATAGCAGAATATATTTATTTTTCTTTCTGTGCCTACTATAGCTACAGTACTGTATAAAGGCACACACAGCTTAATAAACCCAAACCCATTTTTGTTATTCAGTAGTTGTTAGAGTACTATAAAGAAACAAGTGAGTAAACTGCTTCTTTTAATTTGTTTAGCACGGCATCTCATACAAAGTATTATGTACAATGCAGACTGAACTAAAGAATCCGTGAGGAGAACTTGTGTAATTCCAGGCAGGTTCCCACATGCCCCAGAGTCCCTTTCTAACATGACTTGAATAACTATATTGACTGCACTGTTTTTTTGTTTTAGTAGGACGGATATGAAAGCATGGATTGTGTCCAAGTTAAACAAATAATACTAAGTAAAACACCCCTTAAGGACAATGAAAAGGGGAGGCTATGTTACCACCAGGGGGCGAGTGTCTTACATGCCCCTACTGTTGTTTTTATGACTCAGTGCTCAAATCCCTGCACTGGAAAAACACTCATGTTCCAGTGAGTTATAATGCAAGTGTCAAAACATCAATGCCTGGTATTTATATATTTGTTCAGTAGGTGTTAAAAGATCCCTCAACCTTTTAAACAGTGAGAATAATTCGGCCTGTATAGAAAACAAATTAAGTCATTCCAAGACACAGGCAGCTCCATTTTTGCACTGCAAGATCCAAAGGTGAATAAACTGAGATTCACTCAGCTGTTTAAAGCCCAGGAAGTGTGAGTGTTACTCATTGTCCTGTGTGACACACGTACAGTAAAGGAGTGGCTGATGGAATTTCACACTCACTCACCCAATCTGTAAGCCTAGAGACCTGGTCTCTTCCCACACACTGTACTCTTTAAAACATATATAATCAAAATACACTTCATACTGCTCAATAATCTTAAAAACATTTCTTTATTCCATAGGTTAAAAATAGATAGACATGACAACAGTTCTAGGGTTCATATTTTTAAAAAGAGTAAAGTTCTGCTTATTTTACACTATGTACAAAATCTAAATACAAAATCACTTATACAATCAACACATTGCTTTGTTCATCACTCAAATGGGTAACACAGGTAAACCGTTTCTTTCTTAAATGAGGATTTGTACCCTCGGCTGATGCTTTTAAAGATTAAACCGGAGAAACATTTATAGGTTGGAAAAAACAATGTGTCCACTAGCAAGTGGAAGTTTAAGCAATGAGCCAAAATAAACTGGCTCTTCTCTCTGGAAAAAAATCCATAGACCATTTATTTGACATGAAAATTCATGAGTTTTCACTAAATTGATCTGAGGCAATAGAATTCCAGCAGTTGTATGGAAATCCAGTAAAAAAAACACAACAAATAAGCGAAGTTACAGGAGTCATGTACAACAAATTCACTTCAATCAATCCACATCCATACAGTACATCACACAGAACTTAAAAGGGGAACTCTGCCAATTGTACATGTCAAAGTCTGCGTATAGTTGTGTGAGGGTTTGTAAACAATTTTGTTTGTATAAAGTATTGCTGTTGTTTGCTTTAATTCATCATAACTTTTCTAAGATTTTGAGTTCTTAATCCACACTTGAGGCATGCAATAAACAACTACTTTTTCTTTACGAATTTCAGGTACGGGGCGAGTTATTGTTAGAAAAACAGCTATTTTAGGGTGGGCATTCCTTTAACATCTACTCTTATTTATACTGTAATTCGTTGACTATAATGCACGAAACTCTGAAAAATGCACAAAACTCTGAAAAATGTACAATAAATTACACATAACCATTTCAATCATGTTCATGAGAGGCAAAAAGGCAGACGTTAATACCGGGAAAGACGATTATAATCGTTTGAGTGTGTCCATTTAATCATCATCGTCGTCATCTCCACCATCATCATCGTCATCATCGTCGTCATCGTCGTCATCGTCTTCAAGGCCATCCTCTTCCTCATCATCATCTCCACTGCTGGGTTCAGACGCTTCATCATCTGAGCTAACAGGTTCTTTCTCCTTGAAAACTGTTAGATGAATGGCCTCTTCAGGTGAACTGACGCAACCCCCGCAAAAAAGAAAATACATCACACACACGCTAACAATGAAACAGACTATTCATGGATATCCGGCAGCAGGGAAAGTGTAAAAAGAGGCAAAATAACAAATATGGAGGCTTTATAGAATACAATACCCAAAATCCTAGCCTTTAACCAAACCCAGAGTACCGCGGAGAATTGATGTACTGCTTCTTTCCGTGGACAAAGAGGACCATAACATGAATTTGTGAACATTTCTCCAACAAATACAGTTCATGGTTGTCTGGGTCTCAAAGTGTTCACCTGTAGTCACAAATCAAAGTGGCACAAACTGTGAAGCACCAGTTGTTGTTGCAGCTACTGCTCACAGTTAGAAGGAAATGTTTTGCCAGGGAAAAAAAGTTTTTCAGCTTATCTTCCATAGCTTCAAAACGTAAACAGCAGGCAGTCGAGAAGATAAGATTCAATTCACTGCAGCAGTATCATGTTTGAAATGCTCTTTCTGCAATTTAGGGATGTGATCAATGAAATGTTTAAAGTTATTAGTTAATTTAAGTGTAATTCTATAAAACACATAATTCAACTAATGATTTTTTTTTTTAAATCACATGGTAATATGATAAAATAATCAAGAGAATAATGTAAACTAGTGCACTGCTGGAGTGAATTGAGGTCAATTAACAAGCTCCAAGAACAGCATGTACTGTAGGAAGGAAAGCAAATCTCCATATGTACATCTCCTCCTCAACAGTTTATAAAACTCTCAATAAAATTAAGCAAGTAATTACAATCACTGGCAAACTTTTGGTAAAAAACATATAAAAGTGTATAATTTGGCGTTACTACAAATCGGATATTAAAGCTCTAATACTGAAGAAGACAAACTATAATAATATCTGAGGAGGTTCACATAGGAGGAGCAAACATGGAAGGAAAAGATGCATCCCCACCCTCAAAATTCATTTGTCTTTTCCAGCAGCCAATCAGGCTCGACACCAGTCCCGAGAAGAAGAGGAGCTCTGCCTCTCCGGCCCTCACCACACGGTCGGGTCCTTCCACTCGTGTTCCCGCACTTGCATCTCAGGGTCGGACTCCACATTTTTTTTCCTGCAGAGCCTCACCACCACGAAGATAGAGAGGAGGATGAGGATGACACCACAGGCGCCGCCAACTGCTGCTGCCAGGATGCTGATCTCAGAGAGGGAAACTAGAAGCAACAATACACTCAAATCAGGGATTACAACGGGTGAAAGCTGGGTGCAGCCTAATGGGAAATTTGACAAAATAGAGATACCATAAGAATACAAAAGAAAAACACGCTGCCTGAGTGATTGAAGCAATACTTCACCCCCATAAAAATTGATTTCTTTATAAATCATTCCCCCTTTTATCTTGAATTCTTAAAGAAAACGTTGTTCTTCTTGCATGTCTCCATAGGGACGAAGAATCCAAAAATGGATGAATTGAAGTGAATGGGGGCACGTATAATACCACTTCCACATACAGTCTAAAGCTTCAACAGTTCACGCTACTGATCCAGTCCGAGGTGTATTAAATTGTGAGGTTTGGGCATAAAACCACATAAAGGCACGCAAGAAAAACAAAGTGTTAAAGAATTCAAGGTAACACAGGTTAAGTAATTGATATGTAAAAATGCAAATTTTTTGTTTTTCACACAATGCCGTGGTCTGTCAAAGTGCTCTTGAGCCAGACACTGAACCCCTACCTGTCCCAATAGGCGCGTTCACACCAAGTACTTTGCCGTATTTAGTACAGATCGCGTTCACACCGGAGTACTTTTCCCTGAGGGAAGATTACGCAAATGAGCCGCTGACGTCACTTAGTCTTCTTCTGCTTTGGGTTTACTGGCAGGCCGCAAACAATTTCACGGCGTATACTGCCATCTGGAGTCCCCGGCCGGATGTCCCCGGAGTTGGGGACTGGCTTCAGTAGAAGCTGCTGGGACTCCCAGCAGCTTCTACTGAAGCCTTCCGAGTAAATCGCCAGAACGCCGACACCTCCTCATCTCCACCGCTCCCATGTTTTCTTTTGTGTTGCCATAAGTTAGTCTCTCTGCGTTTGTGCACTGGGCGAATGATAATGCTAATAATGCTAATGCCAGGATAATAAAATGGCGGCTCTACAAAACATTTCAGAGTTGTACGGGGCGTGGTTTGCAATTCGCCCAGCCAACCAGAACTGGGGAACTTTTTTCCCCCAGGAAAGTACCATCTCTCAGCAGCCACTAAAAATGGGGGTAAAAGTTCCCGAGATGAAGTGCTCTTTTTGGTGTGAACGCGACATAAGGGGTACTAACGGAACTAAACGCGAAAAGTACGGTGAAAAGTACTCCGGTGTGAACGCGGCTATTGAAGACCTTGAGCCCTGACCTCCCTGTAGAAATACATTGTACAAATAAACCGTTTAACATCTTTTAAATGTTCTTTTTCTGTAGAACATTGCCGTGCCTCCAGTCTAACCTTTGTTGACGACTCTGAGGGTGAGCTCTCCGCTGCTGCCGTGCACATCTGGAAGGTTGCGCACCTGGCAGGTGAAGGTGCCATTAAAGGTCGCAGGCACCTCATGCAGGGTGATGGAAACGTCCTTTTTCATAATATCTCCCGACCACACCGCGCGGCCTTTAAAACGCCCTTCCATGGGAGGGTATGGTTGCTCCTGGTAGTAAAAGACCTGGAACATAAACACACACACAATCCATATGTAGAAGTCCATTAACATCAGAAAGCATGAGATTATTCTGCAAAGAAAAACCCATTTATTTAATAAAAATGCTAGCAATATTGCCTATTAACTAAAAATGTCTCTTTTTTTTTATCATACAACATTATGTCGTGATACTCAAGTGTATTGATATTTTCTTACACTCCTAACCAAGATCTGTTAAATTACGGCAAAGATATTGAAAGGCTGTTTTTACAAAAGTGGAGAAGCCATATTACTAATCTTAACAATTACAACTTTTCAGGACCTAACTAAATAATGAGAAGGTTTCAAAAATAATTACATTAATAAAAACAATAAAAAACACAGTTTCTACACACCGACTCATCTGAATTTGAGTTCAGGGCTCTGAAATTCCAGGACACGGTGACAGACTTAGCTGACACTGGGTGATTGGAAGAAAACGTGCACTTCAGTTTCACATTCGTCCCGTTGGCCACTTCCACCTCTTTCGCCGTGTAAATAATTATTCCACTGACATGTTGCACCCCTGTAATAAAGACAAGCAAGTAAGAATAAATACTCCTCGACAATAATGAACACACTTTTTTCATTTCTTAGGTGCAAACATAGTTATCACTGCGTATTTAACAAACAAAATGTCCTTGAAAGTTGAGAGCACAGGAACAGAGAAAGCCTCAGATATCTGATGTTTATTGTTTTGTACTTTTTTGGGACAAAAACGGCCCACTATTCCACAGCCACTTCTTGAAATTGTAAGAGCTGGGTTCTCTCTTTCCTCTATGACTTTACTTCAGGGCTTCGGTACAGCAAACAAGAGAGCAAATAATTCAACTAGTCTAAGAGCTGATACGCCTACAATTGGTTAATGATTGCATGTGTGTGCAAGTACAGAGGGTTAGATAGAAACAGCATTTGCAGGTGCCTTCAGAAACCCAGGGGGTATGAAAATATCTAAAACAGGTTTGGATGTTTGTTTATTTAACACCTGGTCTATAATACATATTTTTACATGACAAAAAAGGAAAACCTTTAAAAAAAAAAGTGATGAGCAGACCTGAGGATTAAAGCATTCCTCCCAATGATTCCAGGACAAAAAGAGGAAGAAGAAGCCTGAAGCCTAAAGAATGTTCTGTAATCCTCTACATGGAGGGATACCAAAATGAAACCTTACATTGATGCTCGTTTTTAGGCAAGATATAGATACTAAAATCAATTTTTTGAAATAAGACTAGATATATTATTTGGATTTTGATATAGCACAAGTCTTCTCTATCAATATAGATGCAATTTGTCAAATATTGTGATATTTGATTTTCCCCAGTTCACCCAGCCCTAGTCTTTAGGACATGGTCAGTGTCTCTGTATGGTAATCTTACAGGGACCTACCTATACTGACATTGAACAATAAAAGAGGATACCAATGAACTTACAAATAACAAATACTGAATATTTTTCACACATTAATTAAATACACATTTAAGCCAATGAGAGACTCTATTTGTCACTTTATTCAATGATTTGATGGATTATTTATTCAAATCTATTTATAGGTTTGGAAGTCTTTCTATTAAGAAAGGGTTTCTTTGTTTAATTCCTGATAACGTGATATTCTTAACATTATCACTTCCTCTTATCGATGTCTTTGCACCTGGATAGACCAGAGCAATCTTTTTGACTTTTGTTTTCGTGCCCATTGCCAGCCATAGATGGAAATAACATTTGAATAAGATTTGCTTGGACCAAGACTGACAGGAAAATGTGCAAGCTTTATTTTGAATCCTTACAGTTTAATCATAGGGGTGTGGTGCAGGATATATTTATGGGAGAGCGCAAGTTCATCAGATACCGCAAGTTCGATCCATACAGGAAGCCTAAGCACATCTTTTCCACAGAATAAAAAAAAAAGCAAACTGATTTTTTTAAAGTACGTTGTTAATATGACCACATTCCCCTCATTTTGTGGAGATTTAGGCTCACAAAGTAGTTTAAAGTAACACTTTTCATTTCCAACCAAATGTTTTGTTGTGATTAAGTGTTTAATATTTTGATGTGTATGGAGTTTGCATTCAGTGGACACTGTAATGGAAGCTCCTTTTACTAAGACAGATCAGTACAGTATTTGCCTTGCACAGATTGAGCAATAAAACTGAGATAACCATCATAAAACTAGCATGAGCTTGTTAACAGCCAATTACAGCCTATCATCAGGAACAAACAGATAGAGGAATAAGTTCGAAAAGCAGAATCACAACTGGATGTAGAAATACAATATAAAATACATTTAACACTTGCAATTTTCCAAATAAATATCAATGACAGTTCAAATGAAAGACTTTCCAATTGCATAGCTTTGCAGGTGAGTGTTGCCAATAAAACAGGTCTGTGCTACTTGCAAGAGCAGTTTAGTTTCAGTTGTTCCTTTGCCCTCAATTGAAAAAGCCTGGGAACATAAGGAGTGTTACAAATCCTGCTCCATGTTATCTATTAATTGTGAGGCCATGAGAGTGCTTATCAAACGGACAGCCTCACAATGTCACTACAATCAGGTATGGAGCATTGGTGGATATTCTAACAACTCAACAACAAGAGTAAAAAGTCTACCATGTCTGCCAAAGACTCATTTCCAGAAAAGGGATAGCCTGCGTTTAACAACAAAGCACACAACACACAACAACAACACAATACAAGACAGGTGTGTCTAAACCTGCCTGTCCAAACAGCTCCTACTTATTCCGGCAGGATATTGAAGTAAATAGTTACGAGCCTAAAAAGACATTCTTTAACTTTGTTTTTGGTTGCATAATAAGTGGCCTACGGTACCCTCTACAGGAAGTTGTTGAAACTCACCTGGCAGCACGAGTCCTCCCAGCAGAAGCAGAGGCCATATCCGAAACATGGGATAAAACATTTAAACTGCGTCACCTCCGGCAGGTTAGTTACTCTGTTAAAAGTCTCTTCGTGCACATTTGTTGAACGGAGGCATGAACGCAAATGTCTCCGCGGAGTGTCGGAGTGAAAGAGCCGTGTGTCGGTGGTGAAACAGTGAGTCACTGCGCCCACACCTGAGGGGCGGCGTCTACTGCCTCACCTCTCCTCTGGTAAAACCTGTTAACATACCGACACACACGACCTGCCAGTAGGCCTCCTGTTCAGGCTCGTTGTTAGCCTCTCACGGAGCGTGTAGTGTGGATTTATGGGCAGGAGCAGTCGGTGTATGCTTTATAAGTCAAAGCTTTACTGAGGGTCAACTTAAAGTTTGAATTAGGTTAGAATTGCTGACTGGTACCATCTTGTGGCCACAGTGTCGTATCACAAAGCCATTGTTCACTTAAGCAGAAGACAGTGGTATAAAGTGTCATGAGGTAGGAAAAGTACTTAGATCTTGTACTTAAGTAAAAATACAAACTAGAGTGTAGGAATAGGCGGTAACACTTTACAATAAGGTACACAAAATGTGCTTAGTTACTGCTTAGTTACTGAGGAACTACTAGGTAGTTAATGGTTAGTTAATGAGTAGTTCCTCAGGGACTGCGATTGAGGAACTGATGGTTAGTTACTGGTAAACAGACTGGGGGGTACTGTATTAACGAATCATTCGTTAATGGTTAGTTAATGAGTAGTTCCTCAGTGAACTTATGGTTAGTTAGTTACTGGTAAACAGACTGGGGGTACTGTATTAATGAATCATTCGTTAATGGTTACTTAATGAGGAGTTCCTGGGAGACTTTGATTGAAGCAATGGTCCGCTGCAGCAGGGCACTTTTAAACCTGCCATCTTCGGCTGGCTTGGGTCCCACACTGGATCAACTGGTGGAGGTGGATCCGACTCACGTTTTACTGCTTAAGTCATCATTATTTACCTTACCATTACTTAGGCCGTTTGGGTACGGTAAACTCAAGGAACTCAAACAAAAACAGTAGTTACCCATTACCTAATGCTTACTTTACCGTTACTAAAACAGTAGTTGCCCATTACCTAATGCTTACTTGACCATTCATTAAGCAGTATGTGTCCCCTCAAGTAAAGTAATGCATCAAAAACAGTAGTTACCCATTACCTAATGCTTACTTGACCATTCATTAAGCAGTATGTGTCCCCTCAAGTAAAGTAATGCATCAAAAAACAGTAGTTACCCATTACCTAATGCTTACTTGACCATTCATTAAGCAGTATGTGTCCCCTCAAGTAAAGTAAGGCATCAAAAACAGTAGTTACCCATTACCTAATGCTTACTTGACCATTCATTAAGCAGTATGTGTCCCCTCAAGTAAAGTAATGCATCAAAAACAGTAGTTACCCATTACCTAATGCTTACTTGACCATTCATTAAGCAGTAGTTACCCATTAACTAATGATTACCTCACCATTATTTAAGCAGTTTAACAAACAAACAAACCCTGTGCACTCAAGTTTACATTTTTATTTAAACAACAATCCAAAGCACACTAATAACAAAAAGGAGGTTGCTTTCAGAACTTGTAAAAGCGGCGTATGTCATGCAGCAATCTGCCTAAGGGGCCATCTTTGTGTTTATTTGCCAGCCAATGTGTCCACTCGATCAAAGCAAGATGACTCTTCAGAGTCTTCCCTCTGTCTGACGAAGAGGATGAGGAGCAGGAGGAACTGGAGGAACTGGAGGAGGACGAGGAGGTGGAGGAAGAAGAGGAGTTGGCTGCCCCTATTTGGTCACCTTCCCAAGTAACTGGCGCCTTAACTGATGCCATTTTTAGAAGGGCCATAGCTGAAACAAACAAGAGGATTAGAACATAACTAGAAAATGCATTTCCTGCAGAAAATGCGTGCGAATGCTGTAAACTGTGAACATTTGTGGCTGAATTTAGCTGAAAATGCAGAAAAAGCTGAATGTTATTAGCTGAATGGTAGCTGCTTTTAGCTACAAAATGGAGAAAAAGCTTAATATTTAAAAGAAAAGGTTTAAACAAACATGTATAGCCTTGATGTCCTGAAATAGCTGAATAATGTAATAGTTGAATGGTTTCTGCAGCTGAAAATAGGATGAAGGAGTTAAATATCAGATGTAAGTAGTAGTGAATGAATTTGTATTAAGATGAGAAAAGAAAGTAAAAAGGCTTGGGAAAGCAGCAGAATATTTGAACTACAAACTTTTGAACTAACTTGATGGTGAATTATCTGTCGCCATGGCAATGGCATTTGATGACACCCCATAATACGCTTAGATGTGTTGATGGCTGCATCGTTACCAAACCTGTGAAGTTTTGGGCCATTTCGAGCATTTTCACTGAAGTTATGAGAAAACCGTGTTTCATGGTGAGCATTGTGTTGCCATGGCAACGGCATTTGAAGAAATCTCAAAACTGTCCCGTAGATGTCTTCACGGCTGGACTGTTAGCACCAAGCGGCAAACTCTGGGGAAGAGCCGGGACGCCAATGCGGAAGTGCCACAAACTGCAGTTCATATATTGGCCGATAGGCGCTGACTGCAGAAAGGAGCAATTTCCATAGACCCCAATGTTAAAATGCCCATTTTCACAGCAGAAAAAAAACATGTTTCTACCGATGGATCCAATAAATATTATTATGAATATAGTTAGATTCCACCTTCGTGATTATGAATCTGTGAGTGAATTGTTTTCTAACGCGACCCTTTTATTTATATTAGGTCTTAAAGTTTTTGCATAAATTAGGGCGTGGTCACATTGAGTGACAGCTCTGTCAGGTGACTGCTGCTGTTAGCTTTTTGTCTCTCTGCTAGCTGCTCCGTCCGTGAAGCTACAGGGACACTGCCTGCCCAGTTCATCCAGGGAACACAACTTGATCCCGGCCGTGTTTGTTTGTTCTTCATGCTTATATATCGGACTATTGTGACTCGCTCTGCGGTTAAAACAGACGGTGCATGAATGCCGTTTTGCGGTAAGTGAAATTCGAGTACTTTATTTATGTGTTTATGATACGTAATGAATGTTAAGGCTTGGGTTTGCGTGTAAGCGAGTGGTAGCTATGCTCAAGTATGTAGACAAGCTAACGTCGAAGTAGTGTATGTGAAATCAACCTCACAATAAGATGTGTGTATATTACAATTATTAATGTCATATTTTTCAAGATGATTACTTAGATATTACAATATGGTTGGTTGAGCTGGAGTTCATTATTGAGTTTACACGTTAACGTCACAGTCATCTGAAGAACGAACCCAAACGTTGTTGTTTTTATTAATTGCATTACCAAATTGGTATCAAATAAACAGTAACACAACAGCATTGGTAACACAACTTCCAAAGTTACAGTAAAATAAAAAGAACCCTGACTCGGACAATACACAATCCAACATGTTCAACAGAAGAGAATAGTTATATTGTTTGTACACATGGTTCTTTACATATATATCTGTTTGTTTAAAGTTTCCAGGTGATGCAGACAGGATGGACCAGAGAGTGAGAGACAGAACTGGACTCCTCACAGCAGTGAACTTCAGCACAGGTACAAATACTCTTTTTTCATACTGTACAAAGAATCAAGAAAGATATTGGTTTAAATAAATGAAGTATTGACTTTAATACACTGATATACATTCCATTAAACAATACTAAATACTAGATCACCTACACATCAGTGAAGTTGAGGGTTTTTTCCATGCAAAGGGTTACATTTAAATGTTAACAAGCAAGTCAGCTTTCTAATTTAAGGTATTGAAGGCAAAGCTATTAGTGAGAACTGCTACTATTTATCTCTCAATATTGTCTGTAAAAAACGTGGTAAAAGTTATGATTTCAGTGAGAGAACAGAGCAAGCTTCTACAGTTGCACTAAGTTTTGATAACAGTTCAATATTATTTTGATAATAAAATATATTTCAATGTTGATGAATTTCATACTGTTCATTCATAATCTGATTGTCTTTGTAGCTCACTGTTGAAATAAAATAAAACATTACAATTACAAAATAATTATATCTACAAGCCCCTAAACACAAGCACACCTCTTTCATAAATACACACACTTGTTCTGCAATAATATGTTTTATGTTTCCTGTCATTTTTGTTAGGAAAGGACATGCCTGAAAGACACGACTCAACATGTTCTCCTTCTCTGAGGGTCAAGAAGAACATCCAAGAGGAAAATTAAAAGCTGATGTTATGAGATTTTAAGACCAGTACAGGACATTCACTAAGAAACTACTTTTATTGTGAAGTCAGCTGATCGAATGCACCTATTTCCACATCTACACTCCATCAGCTGATTAATTCTATTTGCCTCACTTTATGAGCTTCACAACATGTACCTTGTACCGCAAATAAATGGGGCCAATCTTCAGTCGGATGTGAATGTGTAATCTAACATTTTCAGTAAGAATAATGGACAAAAGGAGTGCAAATACAAATTCAATTTATTGAAATCTGAACCAAAAGTTAATCAAACATGTTTAAATAAAAAAGCACATATGGACAGAAGGTGTAAACCTATTAAATGTATAAGTAAACACATTTAGTCAAATAAAGTGACAGACAAGGCCTGATCAGGTGGTATCAGCTATGCATGGGCTCCTCCATCAGGTCTGATCCTCCTCACAGAGGAAAGCCCCTCAGTCCTCTCCAAACCAACAGACTGGACGTCCATCACACGGAGGTTTCTCCCTGAAGTCTCTGCAGCTCTCTGGACACCACGCTGTCTCAATCCGTCCACACTGAATATGAGAGGGGAAAATGAAAATAATAAATGCTTTAGACAATAAGAAATATAAAGTTGACTGTTGAGTTGCTCAGTTTTTTTAGATTGTCAATACTATTACTGTATAACTAATATCCCAGGTTAAGAGGCACCTTCAAATAAAGATTGGTCTTTAAATACATTTTGTCTTTTGTATTGTTTGTCTAAAGTCAAGGATCTAGAACTGGTACTTATAGTTTTAATGATACAGTCTGGTTATAATGCGGTTTGGAGGAGGCCTCACAGGTAAGAGCACTAACTAGCTACCATCACATGCACCTTAGCTTAACTTAAATGTATTAAACGTATAATTAAGTGATAGCAAAATATAAATAACTAATGTCATACAAACATATTAATATTTGCTTGATTCCAGTGTTGCATTTAGCACATTGCATACAAACGTTAAGGGATTTAAGATTCTGAAGTATTATGCTAAAAACTCAATAACTTAGATTATTATTTATAGTTTTGCTGAATAGTTTCATGTCCGCTTACC